AAGAGCGTGTGTTCCACGTGTGAGAGAAGGAGATGGTGTTTTGCACAATTTATTATTATTATTATTATGTTTATTTATTTTAGAGTTATTTGTGGTCTGATTTTGTCCGTTTTAACATCATTTTTTCTCGAATTTTTTGTGACAAAATTGATATAAATAATTCAAAAAACTAAAATCACTTAAAATCACACTAAAATAAAATACATTAAAATAAAATGAAATCACACCTTATTAAACAAAACTAAATAGAATTAATTTAAAACGCAGCGATGTAAGTACGCAGGTATCAGCATACCATTCATCAAATAAAAGAAAAAAATTGAATAAATTGTCTCTAAAATGAAAGTAAACAAAATTTTGAGAACTCGTTAAAAAAATAAATTATTTATAAATTGTTTAATACTTTTTTGTTTATAAATTGTTTATAAATAAATCATTTATAAAACTTAATTAATTTTTTATAATTTTTTTTCTTTTGTCTTTTGCTTTAGACCTTTTCTCTCTTTTGTCTTTGTTTTTTTATTGATGTTCTGTTTTTCTTTATTTCTTTGCTTTTAAAAAAAATAATGCGTAAAATTGTTATTTTAAATGAATCACACGTGCAAACCGTGCTAAAAACTAATAAACTACTAGAGAATTATGGAAAATTAATCACTAAATGAGAGTAACTAATTTTCTCTTTCTCAAGTGTTACTTAGCAGCCTAAGAATGAATGAAAACCCCCTGCTCTTTATTTAAACCAATGATTACAGGAGTCCGAAATCCTGAAAAATAGGAGAAGATTTTCTCTCTCATCTACCATAGTTGTCACATAATTTTACCTCTAGAATTCATGCCAGAATTCCACATGTGAAATTCAGCTAGCAGGAGATAATTCTCCTAGGGCAATTCTACTCCTTTTAAATAGTTTTTAATCACAAATAATACTACTTTAATTAAGTAATATCATTTTGATGATAACCTGATACATTATACAAGTTAATTACCGTCACTAATTATACTATTGCAAACATATCGACTTTTCTTTTACCATTTTATCCTCAATAGCTCTCCAGCCTCATTGACCGTTCGATTAAATACGGCCGACTAAAATAATCATAAATGATTCATAATTTCTATTGAACAGTTTTTGAATATTTATGAAAAAATAATAACGTAACAAAAATATATATTTTTAAAAGAGTGCAACAAAAACATTTGAAGAGCTCTCCTATTCATTTTTGTGGGATTAAAATTCTACTACTCAAATAAAGAGCATCCTACTAGGTGAGCAGGTCAGACTTAATCTAATGATACTCATCTTTTTTGTGAGTACCAAAGATTTATTCTTACAAGGATCGATATCATTTTTATGTTTAAATTGTGGTTTGATGGTATGAACCAAACGACAAGAAGATGGGGATTGAGAAGAGCAATCAAGATCTGCTATTCTATTTTTCTGTCTCGATAGCTATCCCTTCAATTAAATTTTGACACTTCGTAAAGTGTTTAAGAATTTTTAATATATTGTTTCTATTCGTGTGGTTGGATTTCTAAATTTAAACAACATAATAAATAAATAAAGTAGGGTAATCTTGACAAATACTCTTTAAAATTGCATGAGTCATGATTTTTATCATTTACTCTTGATTCATAACCTTGTTAGTCAAATAAATACACTAATAAAAATGTATTTATTAAGAGTAAAAAATAAAGATCCAGACTCATACACTCTTAAAAGTAAATTCTCCATTTTTTCATAGTATTATAATGACCGTGACCGAGGCACAAAAAATGAAGACAAAATATTGGACTCCCCCGAGACAAGCCCTTGTTCGTGTTTGCAACCGTTTTTAAAAATGATTTTCACGTATTTTGAGAAGCAAAAAATGAAAATGAAAACGAAAACGAAACGACGTTTATTTAATAAATGTTTTAAAAACGAAAACAGTAAAAATAATTTTTACGAAGAAATTAGAAAACAGTTAAAAGTTGTTTTCACTTTTATATTTTTATTTTTTAGTACTTATTAATAATATTTTCTTTAAAAAATGTAAAAACACACTAGCGCCCAGCGGCTAAAGCCTCCAGCCAGGAGTAGCGCCTTCTAATTTTCAGGCTCGCCCGACTCGTTGCTAGGCTTAATTTAACGCCCTCTTTCTTCCTTTTTTTCTTCCTTCTGCCTTCTCTGTTTGTTTCATTTCTCTCTCCATCAGCGCGTTTGTTGAATTTTCGCTTCTGTTCATAATCTCGATTGTTTTCCCGCGTAAAGAAAATTGAAGGAGAGGGGGGGTTTTAGGGTTTTTGAATTTGCATTCGCTGCCAAAATCCATTGCTCAACGCCTCTGATTTTTGGAATAGGGATAGGGTTAGGGTTTCGTTTGCTGGAAATTTCAGTCGACAATGATGTACGGCGATCCTCAGCAACAACAGCAGCAGCAGCATCAGGGCGGGGAGTTTCACCGGGGCCCGCCGCCGCCGACGATGATGCGCCAGCCCTCTGCTTCTTCCACTAATCTCGCTCCTCTGGAGTATCACCACCCTTCTGGTCCTGCTCCACCGGTTCCTCCTTATGACGGTACGCCACTGCGTTTTTCGCCTTCTGTGTCGTTGTTATTCCGTTTGGTTACTTGGAAAGTGGAGGAAGAAAGATAGAATAGCAAAGAAAGAAGATTTCTCAGTTGATTAAAATTCAATTTGCTTTGACTTTAACTAGTAGAAGGGTTTGGCTTCTGCTACATTGTTTTCTCTCTCAAAAATTTGAATTTAAAAAGTTCTGCTACACCGGTTTTCTCAGAAAAAATTCAAAAATTTGAATGCTGAACCCATGAACCAAACAAGCCCTAATAGGTGTGCAGCTTCCATGTTATTTTTTTAGGTTCTGTTGACCGGGGTATTAGTTTCATGATGGTTGGTTGGTCTTTTGATTGTCAGATATAGAGGAACATTTAAAGAGTGTGAATATGGGATTGTCTTTGTTCACTGTAAATTCAGTTATTAGAATTGTATCAAAATCTTTGAGCTTATGACATAAATATAAACATTCTCAAAAGGTTTACTTATTTGGGAGTTGCAAATGTTTGTTGGTTGCAGCTCATGCTGATGGTTTTGCTGCAAAAAGGATGAGAAAGCTTACGCAGAGGAGGGCAGTTGACTACACTAGCACCGTTGTCCGTTATATGCAGGTAATGCTTCTTAATTTGCTCTTT